TTGTTGACTTCCGCGGGCTCCTCTCAAATACAGCACGGATTCTCGCCACTTGTTCCTCCGAGACTCGTGGTCGTCCTGGACTTTTTCCTTTACACAGACACCCACTCTCTTGAAACTGTGGAAACCACCGTCGAATGTTCTTAGGACAGGGCGGATTAATGCCGAATCGCCTTCGAAAAGCACGCTGCACCGTGACAACCGAATTCGTTTTCGCGAACTCGAGAACGCAGAACGCCTTTTGCTGAGGACTCGCCATTCCGAGGGTAAACGAACGAGTGGACATTGCCGGAAGAACGACGCGACTTCAGCGCCCCTGTGGCAGCCATTCACAACTTAGATAACTCCTCTTTCAAATGGTCACTGACTCATTCCATGACGATGCTTGAGAACTGAAGCAATGCGTCATGAATTCGGATCATTCTTTTTAAATAACCCTGTATAACGATTGTTCCCCCCCAACCCACCCACTTTAGGCGTAAAATTGGCCCGACGGTGAGGCCAACGTAGTGTGTTCATACCTCTATGCGCATGCGCATTGAAGACATGGTTGTTTGCCTCGGTAGTACCGTTGCTTTATTATAAGAATGCCTGATTTACGGGTCTTCGGTTAAATCGGTTTTCAGCACACATTGAAAAGTGAAACAAAATGGAACTCATGTGAAAGCCATGTCTGTCCATGTGTGAGAATATCGGCACATAAACCGTTGCATTAATTTTCTTAATGTTAAATATGAGAGATTTTCGAAAAACGTCTGGGTTCATATTTGCAGCCATTTTGATCCATAAAAAAGTCTGGTTTAAATTAGTCTCAAATCCCATAAACTACTTCATACCTTTTGTTTGAAATTTTATGAGGGAGGCTTTCGTACGAAGTTGTTAAGCCTTTCCGATCTTCAGAAATGTTGAAGAGTTCTCTTTTCTGGGGTATAACGCCGAGAAGTCCTTTGAAAGTAGATGGACGTTTCAGGTTCAAATAATAAGACGAGCAAGAGACAAGCGTAAAAGCCGGCGGCAAGTAGAGCTTTCAACGGACTGCACAGCTTTTCTATCCCAGAAGATAGGACTCTTTATAAGCACGTCTGTGAGAACTTCAAACCTGCATTAAAAATAAAACTCAGTTTGCGTAAGGCCTTGTCGGAGGTTTCCATGAATCTGAATTTCGTAATTTCTGTTCTAAGTAAGCTTAAGGTAACTTTCAAGAACGCCATTCGTAATTCTGTGCATAACAGTGTGCAGTTCGTTTACATTAGCGAGCACAGTTCTGATGCACAGCAACACCAGACATTTCCGCGTCCAGTCTCCATATCGCAATTTTGACTGACTTCAGCGAAAGAAGATAGAACCTGCAAAGTTACGAGAGTAAATTTCTGTTCCCTCAGCCTCAGCAATTTCTGCTGACCAACAGTCTCTTAAAGATCATTTATCGTCTACCTCTCGGTTACACTTCTAACCTACGGACGCCGGCAGGGTCCAAGCCAGGAGCCCCCCCCCCCACGCACCAAAATCTTCGGGAGAGAATAAAAATTGAAGGACGGTGGGAAATATACCAAATTATAATTATAAAATCTGTTTTTAATAGTACATAGTTTTAAACAGCTTTACGTAAATTTGCAAGAAATTTTTCTCGCTGCGCCCCCACCCCCGGAAAAATTCTGGTGCCTCTCCTTCCTTCACCTCTTCGACTCGGAGCCCACTAACATGAGCAGTAAGTAGCGATAAGAACTCTTCTCAGTACAGGTAATCGTTCTATAAGATTGGATAGCTCAGTTGACAAAGGGACGGTCGGGATGCGACCCTCAGCGGTTTGTGGAGTTTCAGTTTCTGCATAGCGCTCGTATCAGAGGTTGGGCCCACGTGGCCTCCCATCCAATGCATATCGGGATGTCTACTTCCGTGGTTAGGATACGTCCACTCCCTTATGAGTCATAGACCTCTTTTCTTTTGTGGAGCGTCATACCGGATCAGTAATTTAAATGGGACCACAGCCACTCGACTGGTGGGGGGTCTCTTGAACGCACGCACCACAGCTCCTTGCGGAGGACGAACCCGACTGGCCTAATAGTGACACCTCGGGAACAGTTTCACTTTTGTTTAGTGTCATGTTGTGTGTGTTAATGACATTTTCTATGTCATTCAGTGTCAGTCTGTTATTATATAACGAAATAAAACGCAGCATTATTTTTTATTGCTAGTGGGGTGGGACAAAATCCCTTGTACTGCGGCCACTTCTGGCCTATTGTACCAGCCCAAGATGATAGGTGAGGGTGATTGTGGAGAAATTGGTGGAATGAAGATTGGCAGAGGAAACCGAAGTACTCTGAGAAAACCTGCCCCAGCGCCACTTTATCCAGCACAAATCCCGCTTGACCAGACCCCGGAATCGAACCCGGGCCGCCGCGGTGGGAAGCCAGCGACTAACCGCATGAGCTATGGCGCGGCCAAACGCAGCATTACGTATATCCAGTGAGGAAATAATGTTTTCAACATAAAGTCTGCCTATAAAGTATTTAGTTTATTTATTTTCTTCCTACGCGGCATTTTTGTGCTTTGTAATTACCTCGATCTCGGCAAGTCATCGCTTCTCAAGGCCGATTGTGGAGAAGTAGGCACTGCTTTCCAGTGGAAATGTCATGAGATGTGCTTATGTCATGCGCAACATCCTCTCAAGGTTAGAGGCGCAGTCGATCCCGCTGCAGGTGGTGCATCTGGCTTCTGTTCGTCGAAGAAATACACCGTTGCCCAAATGCATACGAAGATCGTGATGCCACAGGAAACGCCAAGGGATATTTCAACCTCGCCATGCTGTTTCCTATGTACAGAAACATTCTGTTAATATCGCAGACTAACGTCTAATTTCTGTTACCTAGAAGGAAGGAACGTTTAACTTGGGAAGTTTGAGATATGGCTATGCGTGTTTGCTTGTACTAATTTGGAACACGCAAGAAATTCAGAAAATCCTGCGCGTCTGCTTGACGAATCCCGTACGTAGCGTGGAAAAACTTAATGCAAATTTCGTGTGGAAGGTCTTGAACTGTGAATGGTCATAATCAAACAAGCAAATTAAGTATACTCGTATGTACGTTACGGAGTTATTGTGCTTCAGCTGGTAAACGACGCCCTTATACGTGACGCAAAAAAAAATATCGCAATATTCGGTGAAGTCCACAATTGAACCCCATTCTAAGGCAGCTGAATGCAGTCCACACCCACGCACGGCTCACCAAAGGTCCACTGCAATATTATCTTAATGTTATTTATTTAATGACGTCTGTAACTCAGATAACGCAAAAATTTATCACGGTGTTCGTTGAAGTCCACCATTGAATCCCATTCTAAGCCAGCTGAATGCAGTCCACACCCACACAGGGCTCCCCAAAGATCCACTTTAATATTATCTTGATGTTATTTAATTAACGACGCTGTCTGTAGCTCAGATTATTCCGTCATTTCTTGATTTATGAAATTAAATACAAAGTACACATAATTCTGCAACGAATAATACAGAACGTTTGATAAAAGAATTCAGCAGTGGCTATTTCTCTGCAGTGTTTTCACTGGTATCAGTCTCACTGCACTTCAGATCTTCTTTCTTGTCATTATTTTGCAACTGCCAACTCTGCAGACTCTCAGTCCAGTTCTCTGCTGCAACTGCCGTCTCTTCTCACTTATCAACTCTCGACTCAGTTCTAAATCTAGTCAGAGTCAGATTTACTTTACAGTTGGCGGTTTACCGCCAAATCCGCGTTGGCATCAAGCCTTTTGAGACCCACGACCAGTATTTTTTCACCTGAACATTTGCAGTAATATCCTCTGACGAGAGGGTTGGGTCTGTCGTCTAAAATTGTTACTGGGCCTTCTCCAGCGCAGTCATTTTGATTCCGAGTCCCGCTCGGCTCATGACCATATTTTGCTGTCTCACATTCGAGACTCCCCCAACCTGGAGAGCCAGGTACCTGTATTTATATCCCCCAGTAACAGGGTGGCCCAGTTATACTCCCAGGTACTGGGTTCCATTTTCGTCTCCTACGACTCGCAGGGGTACGGTGGAGGTACTCTAACTCGCCTCCACCCGGGTATCTAATTCTACCTGCGCGAAATCCTCGGGGCGGTCCCAGAGAAAACACCGCCTCCTCTGTTGTTGCGTGTTGGTTCGATACTGCGGGAATGTGTTTACCGAGCAGTTGCCAAATAATGGACGTCTCTAATTTCACTATTCCCTCATTTCACAGTATAAACCATAGAATAAAATAACCCTTTAAATAAAATAACAAAAGTGAGCAAAAAAATTACATTAATAAATTCGAATAACCCTCTTAGTTGGCTTGACCCCATGCACACAGCCCTCCATTTTCTTCTAGTCCTTATTAAAATTGGCTCTTCATTTACGATTTTTTAATTTATGAGATGTTTTTTCTGGGGCGCATGTACCGTGTAAATCGATAAATGGCTGCATATATTTTAAGGTAAATGGTTAATAAAGAATTGAAGAGGGTATGCAAGGGAGTAATTGACGCCAAATTTGAGGTGGTGTCCAGGAATTTGCCTGCAAAGAGAGAGGAAAACCACAGGACCTCAGTCAGGATACATGGTCTCAAGGTCTCGGGTTGAACCAGAGACATTGTGAACAATTTCATTGCTAATTGATATGGTAACGAATCAACGCGGTGGAATAGAATTCTCCTCAGGAGGCTTATGTCGTACTTCTTATGGAACGCAAAGTCCATCGCCTTGTAACAAGAGCTCGCCAATGGCACATAGCTATACACGCTTAGAAAATTAAGTGCCGTTTTTGTCTGAATATTGCATGGTTCGCTTGCGGTCGATACTAACCTAGAAAAGTTCAGCGTACTGTGACAGGTTGATTGATTTTTACGGCTGCAGGAGTCCAGGTGCCCAATCGATATGTTTTCATCGCCGCCATTTTGTCCACGAGTTACGCAGTGGATTCCGGACACCGTTAAATGTCGAAGTTAAGCATGCGTGGAGCATTACCACCACGGCTGGTGTATTGTCTTCACGTGATAGTTCTAAACAATTGGTGCGGAAAATATGCGCCATGAAAATCGGTTACCGACGATTTTAAGAAATAATTATGTGGTTGAATGGACCCAGCATAGTGCAGTCGGTATTGCAGCTAGGCTACTGTATGGATAACCGAAGAATCGAGGTTTTATTTCTGGCAGGGATAAGAAATTGTCTTATGTCTTCTTTACAATGTTGCGTACCTGGGGCTCGGGTTTGTGTAGGACCGTCGCCTATTGGAGAGACAGCTGCTGGAAGATTGCCTCAACCACATTTTATGTTCAACATTTTTCTGTGTAGATCTTGCAGATTTGTTGTCAATAAATGAAGATGGTGTAGGTTTTGAGGTTCTCACAGCTGTGGCTTTGAAGGGTGATTAACGCCTAGAGAGGGCAGAATTGGTTCCCTGATAATGGCAGTACCCCAAGCTAGATCAGCACGAGTTATTTAAGGGTCATAACATTCATGGGCACAGAATTTTTTCTCACCTGTGTTGGGCAAAATGCAGCCAAGCACTTGCCATGTGCTCTTGAGATTTCTGTGCAGCCATGTATGTACTGATCTTTCCTTCTGCAGGTGCACGGGTTATCATGGCCTGCAGAGACATGACCAAAGCTGAGGAAGCGGCCAGAGAGGTGCGTAAGCAGGTGGAGGGTGTGGAGGGGGCAGGTACAGTGGAATTGGTGTGCCTGAACCTGGCATCCCTGGCTTCCGTGCGTCAATGTGCCCAGGAGCTCCTGCAGAAGTTAGAAAGAATCCACCTGCTTGTCAACAATGCAGGTACTGTGACCTATATCCTGTTGCTTTCAGGGACTCGTGACAAACAGAGCTCAGGGTAAGAAGGTACATTGCTTCTGTTCTCAGGAATCATGGCATGCCCCCAGGGCAAAACAGAGGACGGCTTTGAGATGCAGTTCGGTGTGAATCACCTCGGACACTTCCTGTTCACATGTCTCCTCCTGCCGCGCATCATCCGCTCTGCTCCTGCAAGGATCGTCATTGTGTCCTCCTATGCACATGAATGTGAGTTGACATTGGGACATGGTTTTGGTGAATCTTGCTCCCTAGGATAGGGGGCACAGTCAGCAGATCTTGGATCATACTGAGAAAGATTGTATACTTCAAGAGTTTTTAATAGCCCAGTGGTAAACTAGGTAGCCTATTACATGTGTCAGTCAATGAAGAGAACTGTCTTCTGCATTTTGTGACATCACCCTACATACTACACATCAATCAGATGTGCACAACAGCTGAACATACTTTATATACAATGTGTATGTATGTACACATACACACTGTAAGCATTTGTGTGTGTGTGTGTGTGCGCGCGTGCGTGCACGCGTGTGGTTGGTCCTGAATGAATGACATGAGATCTAGTCCTGATGGGAGACCTGAGATTTCCTCTTTTGAACTGTATGCAGAACACGTTACCATGGAAGGAAAGTCAATCCAATCATAAAACTGATAAATCATTTGAATATATACAGGGAAGTTTTTACTTCTGTTGACCAGTGCACTACTAGCTGCAAGGTACATACGCTTTTTGTCGGTGAATCCTGTATGCCTGATGGTCCATAACGTTTGCATCAGAGGGAGGTCATTAATTTTGTGGAGCAGTTGATGTTATGTTTCACAGTGAGCAGTGCAGTTCATGCATGGGAATTTGTTTATGATTTGTCTTAGTGGACCACAGTTATCGTCTCCATTAGCTGTTTATTCTCCGTTACAATTAATGAACTGTGTGTTGTATCATGGAGCTGTGTACTTTAGAGCAACGTGTATTTCTGCATGACACCTATATGAATTACAGATCTGCTAAAAGGTGTCAGAAATAATTTTGTGGTAAAAGAGTTCCCAGCAGGCAAACAGTTTCTCAATTTGCTGAATAAACTTAGAGCAATGGGACTCTTAATAAACAAGAAACAGAAACATAAGCATCAAGTGCTTGCTGAGGAAAAGTTAGATGACATAGGAGCCAGACTTGTACACCTAGAAAATCACTAAAACGTCTAGCAGAAGGGACTGGAGTGTCAAAGTCAAAGATATGTATGTCATTCTCAGGCAGTTCTTTCCATAGTTAACAGAAGAAAAAAAGACTGGGTGGTTTCAGAAGGACTCGGCTACTGCCCACACTGCATGTATATGTATGCAGGCTTGCTCCGATGTCTTCCTTTGGGGACAGAATTATTGGCACTTTCGCCCAATCTTAATCCTTTTGGTTTTTTCTTCTGGGGTTGATTGTAGGGCAGTGTTATAATAGCAACCCCCAAACAGAAAAGGAACTAAAAGAAAATTTTCTTAGGGAAATGGCAATCATTCCTGCAGAGCATTTTCGAACGGTAAATCAGAACCTCTTCCACTGGTGCAAGGAATGTCTGTGTAGAGGGGCAGCATTTTCAACACCTGTGGTCTGTAAGTTGTAACTACTTCATTCTGAAAATTACCAGCCAACGGGCATAGTGATTGATCAGAAAAATTTGTGTCTTCCTCGCAGCCGGCAGTGCGCCGGTCACCTTGAAGCACACAGCCATGAACCAGCCAACAGAGGTAAGCCCCCTGTATGATATCCAGCACATCCAGGATCAAAGGGTTGCCCTGTTATTAGAATTTTATTTCTAATTAGTGTACCTAGTAACCTCAAGCACAGACATAACCATTTAATTTGTCAAGAGATATCCTGTCCTGTTTTCCCTGCCGCAATTTATTTTCCCTTTTCATCAGTATTTATGTAATTGGTGTATATGTAATCGAAGAAAAGCTGACAAGACATCAATATTTCTCTCTCTCTCTCTTAATCCACAATTGGCCATTTTCTGGTTAATAGAGAACAGCATGGCTGAACTGACACTGCATATCACAAGTGACAAATGTTTCTGAAATTCATTTCAGTGAGTAAAATTGGCTAACAAAACTAAAAGGGATTCTATATGTAATTTTTTTGGTATAGACTGAGAGAAGACTGAATCCTGTTGGCTTTCTGACAGTATAGTCAAGGCCAGGTGGGAGGATTTACAGTGTCAAGATGGGTTGAGAACATGGTCATGAAGGGATGATTTGAAAGGCGGCAGTTGTGTCCTGTTCTAAGGTAGGCCTACTAGCCTGATATTCACCATGATGGATTAAGCAACACCCCATCCCCTCCTCCCACCAAACGCAACTAAGTCAGAATAGCATCTAGCCTAAGTGAGATTCTAACTTGATATGTCTAAATGATTTTCACTTCAGTATCTTGATTTGTGTGAGGAGTTTTAAGTGAAGTTTGCTGTTAGCTTCAACATTTGCCACTGCCACTATATTCTGAACAATGTGGTCATAGGCAAGAAAATTGTATATTGAAAGCCACTTAATATTGCAGGATGTGCTCTTTATATTTTTGGCTTTGTGTTTGTTCAGGGGGAACCATGAATTTTGAGGACCTCAACTTGGAGCAGTCATACACTCCTTGGAAGGCTTACTGTCAGAGCAAGCTAGCCAACGTGCTCTTCTGCAAAGAGCTGGGAAGAATGCTTCAAGGTAGACTACTTTGTTGTTTCACTCTGATTTTTCTCTCTTCTTCATGCTTCAAAGGATTTTCTGTGGATTTCTCTCTGCAGCAAAAAACCATAAGGGCAGTTTGGCAAGCATATCTGTCACTATAATGTATTATATTTATTTCACCAGAAAATAAACCATTTCCAATGCTGCACAAAGCAATAACCGAAAACTGTGAAATAATTATAAGAGTGAAAATGTTGAAATCATGAACACTGGGAAGTGAGAATGTTCACACAAGCTTACAGCCCTGTGCACAGTAATGTTTCTGGATTGCTTTGATTTCTTCATAATAGAACCATAGTGACACATTGCATGACATGTGTAGGGCCTATTGCGAACTGATAATACTAATCATGTGTTGGAATAACTGTAGACAGGGGTTTGAATTGGTAGTCAGATTTATTGAACACTTACAGAATGTGACTACAAATAACTACGACAGTCTCCCTGAGTTGTACCCTCCGAAGAGCACTGCTACTACAGCACACCTTAAGTCTTCTCAGTCTTTCGTAGCCATTCCCGGTAGTGGCTTCCAACAGCAGATGTTCCCCTGCCTCTGGGTTCCTGAATTGTCTCTGGCCTCAGTTACCAGCGTCTCACAACAACAGTTCCTGACTGAACCACAGCAGTCTTCTAACTCACTAACTAACCAACTCACATGACTCCACTGACTGACCTACTGACTCCTTCCACTAACTGGCCCGCTTTTAACAACTCAGCATGGATCACACAGAAAACACCAGCCCTGAGTTGTGTTCCATTGTCGCATTGGCACGGACCATGCAGAGAACACCAGTCCTCTGTTGCTGTGACATTGTGTTCGTGTCCCTTGGGATGCCCACACGATTGCTGCTCAGGCATTTTGCTAGCAGTGGCCATTAGTTACAGAGCTGTTACTTAGCAATAACTGTTGTATAACTGCTGATCTCAATGGTCGTTGCATAGCAACAGTTCTGCATGCCACAATACACTTCATGTTCTTGATCAGGCACAGGTGTGACAACATACTCGCTTCACCCCGGCGCAGTGAAGACTGAGCTGCAGAGACACGTGGATGACATGTACTTCAAAGGTGCTGCTATTTTAACCCGTGCTTTTGCCAGCATGTTCTTCAAGACTCCTGAAGGGGGTGCCCAAACCAGCATATACTGCTCTGTGGATGAAAAGCTGGCCAGTGAAACAGGTCTCTACTACAGGTGAGAGAACTCATGGCCTATATCAGTGCTTCAGTAACAGAAGATTTCTCTTGTTTGGCAGCAGAAGGAAGTCAGGTAATATTATGCATGCTGGCACTCTTCCTTCTCTTTGGTGGAAGGTGCACACTGTTTCAAGATATTGTTGCTATACTCTAATATTTATTTGCCCATTTCAGTTTTGTTATTTGTTATGGTGGAAGTCATTTTGTATGCTTTGTGGTATTTGAAATATTTGTAGATGGAAACAAATTGCATATCTATCTACAGTTTTGCATATGTTTTGGTTCTCCCTGTTTCTCTTATATGGTATCAGTGAATGATAAAAGAGTCTCAACAGCAAATGCATTTTTTTGTTATAATTCAGCATATGCCTGAATGTTTTTCTTTCCTCATGGCAAGGCAAGTAACATCGAATATTATGATGGTTTACAATTCCATCATACTCTCACTTTCAAGATTCTAGATTAAACCATGTGATCTTATCATTTGACTGCACACAACAGATGTGTATAACAACAGAGCATGTAAACAATTGCTTGAGGATGGCCGAGTAAGGCTGAAAAATGTAACAGTTGATTGTGGTTTTAATGTCATTAAATTAAGGAGAGATTCAGAACAGAGCTGCATTAAAGATGGAAGCGAATGTGTAGGGTGATGTAAACAGGTTCAAGTTCCTTCAACTTAAAGTGTCCTTCGGTACATTCCAAAACAAAAGCAGTAACATGGATGATATCATGCAACACTAAGTTTGCAGGCTGTAGGTAAATATTTATCTGATACATTTCCTAATCTGAATGGTGTGGAACAAGGAGATGCTTTCTCACAATTACTTTTTGAGTTTGCTTTGAATGAGAAACATAACTTCCATTTGATGCTGCTGATGTTAAGTTGTTGGGCATAGGAACACAGACAGTATATTAGACTTGCACAATTAGCATAACAGTCTGCTTCTGAAAGGGTCCCAAGTTCAATTTTCACTTCCTGAATGCCAATATTTCGTGTTCTTATATAAATAGTATAATACTGACGATTCCAGGGCACGAACTGAAGTCATGCTCACTGTACATAATTAGTTAACATGCATTATTCATGTATCTTTGGAAGCCATTGATTGCTGCATGTGAAGTTCGGAATTGGACACACGTGAAAACAGTCTGAGACCCTTTTATGCTTGTGTTCTTTGTCGTGAAAACATTAAGATATAAGGAAAAAATATGCTGGGTGTAAGATACATGCTTCTTTTTCATCTACAGTCAGTAATGGAAAACATTTTCCTTTTTCCTAAATATATATGGCTAGTTTCCCTGCCAAGCATGTGCAGAAATGCATGTTGGTCTTCATACAAATTGGTGTTTAAAATTGTGTGACATGTTTATTATTATTATTCAGTTGACATGATTCTGGTATGACCTATTGTGGCCATCATCAGGTGCATAGAGTCTTTACAGTCACCTTCTGTCCTGAGACACTGCTGAAGACGTTCAGGAACATTCGAGCGCACTGTTTTGCGAAGCTGTTGGTTGTTACCGAGTTCTGCAAAAGCATCCATCCTTTGTGGCTGGTTTCAGATTATCTGAGTATTTGAGTAGTGATTCTGATGGGAAGCTGCTCTTTGAAACATGATTCTGCTTGCCTGGGTACACTACCAAACCAATGCACTGTACAGGGTAGTGATTTTGTGCCCCCTGTATAGCATGGGATATTTGTTGAGATTATGGCTAATGAGGAATCGAAGGATGTGGGCAGAAGCATGTTTCGGTTAGGTACCCTTGCAGTGGGTCCGAGAGCAACTGCTTTATATATGAAAGGATTCGCAGTTCCTGAAGTTAGGACATGAGTCCTGGCAAACACTAACCAGAAGTTCTAACCTACTGAAACCCAATGTTTGATAATGTGGAAGAATGTGAGAGAGACTGTTATCACATTTCCAAGTTTCCATATTTATCATCATTGTTTATACAGTGTCTTTAATAAGTGTATATAACACTTACAATTGTTCTCTTGTGAGTCAGTGTCAGTGCCAGGATGTGGCACGTATAGCAGCGAATGGTATGTTGACTGATGGATGAATTTTTGGAAGAAAACAGTCATGGCCTAAGACAGATAGTAACCTGAGCTCTTGGTGTTTTTAATTGTTGTTTGTACAGTGATTGCAGACAGAAGACACCTTCAAGCAAAGCCTGCGACCCAGAAGCAGCCAAGAAACTTTGGGAGTTAAGTGTGAAGATGGTGGGCCTAGGGGACTGGAATCCCATCATTGCGGGTGACAACACACAGCCGAGCTAGACTGCCACATGGCGTCAAGTGTGTGGTCTCTGAATGTTGTATTGTAAACATAATCTGCACCTCTATACGAATGTGTGTGTGTGTGGCTTTTGTCATCACAGAAGATTTGAATCTTTTTTTGGTTAATGCTGCATTGGTCCTTTAACTCTTCAGATTCACAACAAAGCTCTTTCCCAGATCACAGAGAGTTGGGCCTAAGCTTATTTTACAACGGTTCTTGAAACATTTCTCCAGCAGAAAAGAAATAGGCCTTTCACAAGGTAATTATTTGCTGATGTACACATCACATAGTGAATCGGGATAGTGACTAGGCTATGGACTGTACAACTGAGGAATTCAGGTTGTTTGTGTAAGGGGCACAGTATCATTCTCTGCTCCACAGTGTCCAGACCAACACTGGGCCTCATGCTCATCTCCAATCCAGTGGCTGTCAGGTTTTCTCCCCTGGCTGGAGCATGAAGTTAGTTCTCGCCATGACTTCACTTTATATCAGAATTTATGTTTATATAGTGATAGTGATCTGTGTATTTAAATCTAAATATATTTTGCTTTTACCTAGTGCAAGGTCACAAGTCAGAGTTTTGATATATTGTAACATTTTCCATTACGTACTCTGTGGACACTGGCAGAATAAAGATTGGCATGAAAAAACCAGAAGTACATGAAGGTAGACACCATTTTCCTTACAATAGATGCCTGGGGTCTCTTCTACTACGCAACACTGTCCTCCGCATTGAAGTGTCCTGTATCCAGGGGTCTGATGTAAAGCCCCATGATGGAATGTGTACATTGACATGATTGTAACAGTTTCCATGAAGGATTCCTGGGAGTTCTGCAGAGAGTTCCATTTGATTTGTAAATGATTTTGTGATTTCCAACAGTTTTGTCAAGGATTCCTGGGCGTCCCATGAAGTGTCACCATTTGTTCTGCCAGTGATTGCCAGAATTCCATAAATAGTTCCCAGTTGCCTTGTGCATGATTTTCCCCAATTCCTGATGAATTCAATGATTTCAGCATGATCAGCAGCCTAATTTAGCATCAAGTACTTGTATAAGGAAGTGATTGGTTCCAGAGAAACTGTGTAACCATGAAGAATGCATTCAGCTGACACAGGACATTGTCCAGTGACAAACACATTCAGTGCACTGTTCCTCAATAAAGAGAAATTGGAGGCAGTTAATGGGTAGAGATGGTCTACCTTGACCATTCTGCCATTCATTTAAGATACAGTTGAGCTTCAGTTTTCCAGTAGTAAAAGGACACATCCTGACCGACCAGTTTTGATTAAACTGAATGTGAAATATCCAATTGCTCCTCAGTTTAGTGCCATTTTACACTGTGGCCCCATGATCCTTTCATGTAAGCCTGGTGGGAAGTCTTATAATACAAAATGAGCAGGAAATGTGAATCACCAGAAATGAAGAACACAATTTACCAGGGTGTAACGCCACATAGTTCAGACAGGGCCCAACAATTTGAAGGAAAATGTGACCTCCATCTTGAGGGTGGAACAGTAAGCCAAACAGGAAACCAACTTGATTTGCTGACCTTATCTTCAGGTTTCTTGAATGGCCCTGAGGAAGCAGTGGGCTGTCTATATACTACATGTGTTTGATCACAGGAGACTGTACTTTTCATGATACCCATTACAAGAGCCTCAAATACAACAGCACAGATGTTCTATTGCATTTGAACCTGCTGAAACTGCTTCAAGATTACAGCTGCCAGATGAGTTTTATTATTTGATACACTATTAAGGCATTTTATTTGCTAATATGGCAATTAAAACATTTTCAGATAGGAACACATTGAGATATATATGTATCTACTGCTTAGATAACATTTTGATTTGGGATAGCGTAGTCAGTGTAGTGACTAGCTATGGGCTGGACAACCAAGAGGTTAGAGTTCAAGTCAAGGTAGGGTCAAGATTCCCCATGTCATCCAGGCTGGATCTTGGGTCCACCCACCCTCCTATACAGTGGATACTGGGAACTTTTTCCCCAGGGTGTGAAGCTGACCATTCACCTCTGACTAGTGCCCAAGGTCAAGAAAGTGTGGATCTGTGTGCTGACTCCCCCATACGCCTTCATGGTGTAGTGCTTAATTAGTTCAGCACAGGGACAACTTTACCTTACCTTACCTTACCTTTAGATAACATTTTGGTTATATCTGATTATCCAGTGGTGTACCAATGTACTTTCAGATAGTCTCAAAAGTCTGTTATCTAATATCAGGATCCATTTACATCTGAAAGCTTTCATCAAATATCTTTAAATGCATAATAAGAAATGTTGTGAAGGCCTTCCATAGTACCCTTGCTTGTAAGGTTATAGTTTAAGTCATGTAATTTTGTTTTTCATTACAAAGCAGAACTGTAGTTAAATCGCTGCAATCATTTAAAACTAGTTTATGCTCAAGCATTAATAACACATTGCTTCATATTTTACCTAGTACCCTCTGATCTTCACGTTACTCTTCCTGCAGACACCTTGCAGAAAGAAATGGATCTCACAGGAATAAATGTAGGTATATTATGTGAATATTGCAGTATAGTGGCATGAATATTTCTTAGTAAATACTGATTTTTTTTTTCATTATGACCCAGTAATAAAGTTATGAAGACATATTTAATTTTTTATTTAAATTTGTATTTATTTATTAGGCTCGAATTATGCAAGTATGTCATGGAGCTTGGAGTTCTTTTGTGGGATTTGGAGCAGGAAGCATAAGGCAATTTCTGTTGAGAGGGGTCCAGCCACTCCAAATAGATCCTGAGGCTGATGAAATTCGTTACATAGGATGATGTGATTTTCATTAGTTTTAACCAATATGAATGCATACGTGTGGATCGATACATCCGTTCCTCCATAACGCCTTCATGACTTAGTGCTTACTTAGTTCCAGTCCAGCCTGTAGCAATGAGGAATTTCTGTTAGCATCAGACTCCACTACAAGCTGTCTTTTGGAGGGACAGAATTCTTGTTTCATCTTCACAAGTCAATGGACATGTTTGGCGACTGGAAAATTCGTCATAATAAAACAATATTTGTGTACTGGTTAAATGTAACAAAGTCGAGAAACTGATCAACATTGCATCATTACACCTCACCACTTCTGCAACTTAAGTAATTCAGTGTTAAAAGTGTATAAACTGATGAATTGTAATAAACGTACTTTACAATTAAAGTGGGGGCCTGAGGTAGCATAGTTGGTTGAAGCACTATGCTACAAGCTGGAAGATCGCAGATTTCATGTCCAATGGGGTCACTGGATTTTTCAATTGACCTAATCCTTCTAGCCACATGATGGCCCTGGCATCGATTCAGCCTCTAAAAGAAATGAGTACCAGGAATCTTCCTGACAGCCTCACTGCCATCTGTGAGCTGATTGTCTAGAAAATGTGNAAGAAATGAGTACCAGGAATCTTCCTGGAGGTTAAAGAGCGGCCGGTGTGTAAGGCTGACAACCTCACTGCGATCTGTGAGCTGATTGTCTAGAAAATGTGAGAGCCTCAACATCTCACAACTCTATGGGCCTCCACGGCCTGCTACAGGGATAGCTCTGCCTTTTTTATCATCAAAGTGGCTTGCTGTATGGTTCATGACCTGTGTTTCCCAGTTAGTGCAACCCTTCAGACAGAGTCAAACCTTTACCACACCCAAAGCAGAAGGCTGGGTTGATTTGTGACAGTTTTGCAGAAACGTTATATGTGATGCTTCTCATATGCCTGGTATGAGGTACCTTCAGGTTACTCAGGTTGAGGGCTTGCATTACTTCAACATCTGTAACGCCTTCCTGGGCATTCACCAACAGCAGACAGAAAGATGCGATTTGAAAATGCTGTCACAAGCTCCACCATCTTTGCAGCCTCCCCCTCTCTTCATATTAACCACATTGTATGTACGAGATCTGAGGTTTTGTGGTGGAGTTATAAAACTTACAGTCTCCTGGGATGCATTAACTTTGGGGGGTCATCTAGATTAATAAAGCAAAAGATAGCCTTAAAGGACCAAAAAACAGAAAACAAATCAGTGTAATTGTAATAACATTTGTATAGATAGTGCTGATGAAAATAGATAAAAATATAATTGTAGAACTTCTATTTAAAAACTAAAAGACATAAAACTGAAATCCATAGTCTCCTTGATCCAGATGAAGCCAGTCTTCGATATTTTCTTGTGTGATTTCAGTCTCTCCAGTTGCCCTGAACACAGTCTGAAAGTCCTGTTGCTCCTAAATCCCATGTGTCTTAAAATTTGTACTCAACTGTGAACAGAATTTTTCGTTTTTCATATCTCAATCCGAATTATCAAGGGTTCACCCTGCCATGACTCCAGCCGAAAAATATCCTTAAATAGAACAATAAAAAAAGCAAATGCATTAAATGAGGTATGAAACATTTATGGAAAAATGGTCCAAGTGTCAGCTTCTTTCCATGAAAACCTTGACCTGGCTTCATATCATTTTGCAGGATGTTCCTCGAGTTATTCGGCTGATCAAGAAACTTTGTTCTTATGGAATGAGTTTTTCAGTCTTTATTTCTATCTTGTGCCAGTTGAATGTAAATTACTTCACATTTTCTCTCGCTCTAAGATTTATTTTTATATTAGCTTTAATTTCGATTTCATGTTCATATTGTCACGTAGTATGGAGTGACTCTAGACGGGGTTTGGACCGGTGACTAGATTTATTGACCACTTATGACTCGTAAGTACAAGTATTTTCGGCGTCACTGCTGATCTCCACAATTTACAAATCACCACAGCACCCTCTAAGCCTTTCGCAGCGTGCTATGTCTTCACTAGCCGTTCCCTAGCAACGGCTTCTAACAGTGGAGTTTCTTCAGCTTCACAGCCTCGAGTACGGAACTGGCTGGCGGCCATTTCACACCAGCCTCCTAGTTTTCTCTTCACAGCCCTACTTTCAACTGACTAAGCCCTGAACCTCGGTTATAGCATCTCGGTACGGACAACGTGGAAACCCCCATTTACAACAATACGTCGACTGTTGCATGCGTATTTTTTTTCGTGGCAACGTGTTTACCGAATCATTGCCTAGAAATAGTCGCGACGCGGGCCACAGAACATGGAGCCGTTCTATTGCTGCGTGCATGTTGTGGGCATTACCTAGCAACGGCCGCTGTTTACACAGTCACCTCTTAGCAACGCCTGTATACGCCACAGCATGATTCTTCAGTCTTCATTCCCAAATGATACAGTTTGCAATTTTGCAACCCCCACATAACCTTGTTTTTTCGGTGCATGTCACAGCCCACGTTTGAGTACGTTCGTCTTCTGAATGTTTCAAAATATATTCGTGGCCCTGGGAAAGTGTTTCTAAGCAGAACGCGTGTTTTCAAACTGAATATGCTACTGCCAGTCGGGCGGTTTCACAACTCATTTTCTTGTGAATAATACAGAAAGTGACATCCTCGTTATAATTTTGTAGAATCGCTAAGAGCGTAGCTTTTACTGCACTCCAACCATAACATCTTACGTTGAAGAAATGCAGGCTTCATGAAGCTTCTCCGAATAAGCATTCTTCATGGAAATGACAACAGATGACGTCAGACAAACTTATTATCAAATCCTGCTACCAGCTCGTGTACATTCATAAAGTCACGCAGCACCATTACAGTTTTATCGTCGAGATTTTTTCTTGAGGTGTTACGTAAATGTTTATGCCTGTGTCTACATTTATTAAGGCCATTTTTTTTTCTCAAAAGACTGAGTAATTTTGTGCAAATTCTCTGCATATAAATGGTAAATAAACATGTACTCTTGGTTGTAATTCATATAACGTTTCGAAGAGACATGCTGCATCCTTCTTCAGTGTACTTGCAGTTAATTCATATTGGATTAATAAAGGAAGGAGCGCATAAATAATGTTAGAGACGGACATTCCTGTGGTCTGGGATGTAATGCCGTGTAGTCTGGTAGATAGTTACTGACGTTTCAGATGGACCTGCTGTTGTCATCTTAAGGGTAGCTGAGGTCGATGAAGGAACGTCGTTAAATAAAAGAAGATAGTTGAAGAAGAAGCTGTTCAGATAGTTAACGAGGGAGACAGTGAAACCGTGAAACAGTCTCCTGGGACGGTCCAAGTTCCCATGTAACCGCGCATTAAGAATAAGGAGCTTAATTGTTAACAAGGTGAGAGATTTAGAATGAGACTTAAGCCCTTCCTCGCCGCATGAAGAGAATGCAGACATCTTCGGAACTGTGTTTAGTTTGCACACCACGGCATCGCTTTGGAAATCTGATATTTGACAGAAAAGTCTGCCAATATATTTAAAGCATGAGAACCCCATGGAACCAAGCTTTACCTAACGTCAATCAGAGGCCTGTCACATGGTGACTCAGCTGATTGGAAAATGCTAATTTTTAGACCACCTCAGTTTGGAACTAGGCCAGTAAGGGGAGGTTCCTTGAGAAAAGCTGAGAGGTCTGTTAGTCCATTGCGTCAAAGCGTTCCAGTTACGAAAGAAAAAAAGATTCCGGTCTTGACTTTCAAAGTGTTCAGACGTGAGATTCTCCCCGCTTCCCTATAGAACAATTTGCCGTGCCATAGCTCAGGCGGTCCGGGTTCGAGCCCAGGTCATGTGGGATTTGTGGTGGACGGAGTGGCAGGTTTTCCTTCCAGTTCTCGTTCCACCGACTGCTCCACTCTCATCATCATCATCCAGGGCTGGTACAGTAGGCCAGTTAGTGGCCGACGTACCTAGTGAACTCAGCCTCGCCTAACCCAAAGAAAAGCAGTATGTCGAGCAATTATTGACAAATGAATCGAAGTGCACAAATTCTGGAAAGTAAGTTATTAGGGTGAAATCTGAAATGGAGTTGATAATTGCAAGGGAGTAACCCTAATTTAGGTCGTCAACGGAGCATCAGTACGTCGGAGTACAGTGTATCGAAGCCATCGCTGCAGTGACCCTGCGTGATCGTGTGGCAATAAGGTTAGAGGCTCCCTGCCAGAGCGAGGCCCGATATAAAACAGAGAAAACGGTCAGGCTTTACCCTGACACCTACCTGTTTGCATCATATAAATCTGTAATCACTTGACCCTAATGATTACTGCCGCCCACACTTTCCCGCTACCTTCGCGACCCATAGTTCAACATCAGCGGAAAGGGAAGGAAGCCAAGGAGGCAGCTGCTCACTGCTGAGGACTCTCTATAACTGGCGCTTCTAACGTAGAACTAGTAAAGAACAGCAGGGGTCCAACGCCTCGTGACTGAAGAACTATTGAAGCCCTTCTGTTGTCCTGGGTTGCTGAAGGCTGTCAGGAGTCCCCACCCGGCCGCTCATTCAAACACTCTAAGCCCGTCTTTTGCATTTGGTTCAAGCTGTTCATGTAGCACCATGCCATGAAGACGTATGGGAGAGTGGAGGTATATCTCCCCTCATTCTGAACTTCGGCACTAGATAGACTTGAATGCTCCCCCAATTTACCCTTTGGGGATGAAGCCAATGGTACTCACTAAATAGGAGGGTGGCTGGGCTACAGAACGTGTCTGGATACAAAATTTTAAGAGAAATATCGCTGCCGCGGCTGGGAATCGAACCCCCCCTCCAAATTCTCCTGTCGTCTAACCATAGTTGCTCTGTGTATTGACTGAATCACGCCGTCTTGGTGAGGCTTCGGGAATTCTTGGATAACGGTATCAGTGGTCAAATCCATCGCTCCCAAACGCAGATCAATTTTATTCTGATGTTAAATCTAACTCAAACATCGTGCCAATCCAGTGTGAAAATTATCTTCGCGTGTTTATATACGTCGACAGAGAGAGAGAGAGGGAAACGCGCTGCTGGTGACGTTTCGAACCTCCTGTCTTGTAGAGTGCACAGCAGTTGATGTGCAATGACCGCGAGATAAGAGAATAAACAACGGTGTTATGCAACCCGTTTCTAGGTAACATATCCGTAAACACGTTCCCGCGCAACGAAAACGCACGAAACAATAGAATTACCGTCGGAAACTGGGTTTCCTACTCGGTTAATAAATTCCGGTTCAGCCATTCAGAAGTTGATAGGAGGGGCTATTTTTTTATTTTTTCAAAATAACGACAGTAAGCTAACAAAGTATTAGATAGATGTTATTCCTGAACACTGGGTTTGCTCTGCCCATCACCATAGCAGCAACAATTCGTATGGAAGGACGCGACAGGCTTTGCCAGCCCGCTCAGTAACAGTCAGCTTCTGTAGCTCAAGTTGCTCAAGTTTCCCTCCTACGCCGTGCGTTATTGGATTCGAAGGAAGTTGTATGTCTTCTTGCCAGACATAAAGAATGTAAACTGATCGATAGCAGCACGCAGGTATATGTACGTTAGGTCCCTGTAATTTCGGGGCATTTTAGTGTCTGTTCACGATGGTTTGCTGTCCCATGTACACGGGTGAGGCACGTCTTGACGGGAAGACCGCAATCGTCACTGGGTCCAACACTGGGATCGGTAGATGTACCGTCCTGGATTTTGTGATGAGAGGTGAGACCGAAAAATAAAAAGAATTGTGGAATTAAGGTTCTCTGAGCTTCAAATGTAAGTTGCATAAAAGACGGCGTTCCCAGCAGAACTGACAAAAGCTGCTCTCCTGTTGCAGTGAAACTTAAATATTACACTTTTGAAAGGAGCGTTTAAAATAAATTTGATATCGAGGAAATTGTAAAATAAGGACCCAACGTAAAGAAATGTTTCGTTGCTTTATATCGTAATTTTGGCGATTTTTTTTTAAATATAGGTGTTTCAACATAATATCAAATGCAGTAACTTACATGACATGTTACTTCTTTAACCAGTCGAACGCTTGCATTTATTCCTTTGTTTGTCGACCCATCAGTCTGTGTGACTCCGTCATGTGAGGATCACAAGATTTCGTATGCAGACTTGTGCCCGCTTTATCGAAAGAAAGGGCCCGGAAACTTGAGCGATCTTGCACCATGTGTGTCCGTACGCCTTCCGAAATAGAACAAACGTGAAATCGGCTTAATTTCCATCGATGAAATGAAGTGAAAAGTCGGAGAAAACTGAAGTCCAAATACAGTAATCCGGAGAGATTTTTGGGGGGGGGGGATCATCCGGATTAGTGAAGCAAAAAGGTAGCCCTAAAAGACAAGAAAAAAAAAGTAAAATTCAATGATATAAATAGTGCTGATGAAAATAAATTAAAACTTTCACTCTAGAACTTTTATTTAAAAACTTTAAAGAGGCAGTACATTTAAGTTTTGAGGTTTTCACGGCGATGACTATGAAGAAAGTCGTCTTCTGGGATCTGGCGCCAAGTATTCTTGGTTTTAACCGACGTTTCGGAGGAACATATCGCCTCCATCTTCAGGGCAGTAAAATTGCGTGCGAACACAGAGAGCAGTAGCTGCATTAAAACCAATAATACACGGCGCCAGACCCCAGAAGACGACTTTCTTCAGGCAGTACATTTATTCACCTATAGAAGACTCAGAAGTTGTACTTGTTTTCGAATGTAATACTCCTTTGAAGAAACTTTCTCAAGTTCTGCCTGAATAGGCCTTCCTAAATGCCATGTGTCTTTGAAAGCATATACTCAGCTGTGAGCAGCATCTTTTAATTTTTCAGATTTCGATCCTGATTAACTGTAATCAGATGAGAGTTTATTGTACACGTAAAACGAGATTAAAATTTAACGCATTTCTTACGGGTATTTAGCTGGAACCAACGGAATAGCGCCTTTTTAATATACACAATTTTGCAATCCCACACTACTGGGAAATACCCATCTAG